TCTTCTAGGTAAGTGGAAAAATACTCCAATTTAACGATTATTTTATATTGTATCATCAGTCTTGGCTGGCAAAAGGACATAGTTAATTAGTAAATGGTAAGTAGAACTCTGGCAAAAGGACATAGTTAATTAGTAAATGGTAAGTAGAACTAGAACGACATTTAGAGATTGCTTATAAAACTTAATTGAATGCAACGCAAAAATGATTACTTAACTCCAAGGAAATTCGTTTATATTTTACAGTATGAAATGGTGTCTTTAGTACTCAGGAGTGTTAATTTTTACTAATTGTAAAATATACTCTGGATAAGTTCAACTCTCAGTATTATCGATATTGGCATTCTCTTTCCGGTCACAGCTGCTTGATTGCGCGTTATTGCACAAATCATAGCCGCTTTCCAGCGAAGACAAAGCGCCCTGCGCTCTCTGGGGAGCTACACACTTGTGCCAATGGCAGTTCTTGAATTCTGACAGGTACAATCGGTGGTTAAGAAACGCTGAAATGGCGTCATTCATGGTCTGGATATAGAGCGCCAGGAAGGTGACTGTGAGTCCAAACAGCAGAGTAGCAGCAAAGGGAGCCAAAGCCCGTGGTAAAAAGCTGGTCGCAAAATAAGTTGCTATCATTCCCAGAGTGATCGGTGTTATGAATATCATGAAAGAACGCATAACCTCCCACATCAAACTCGATCTTTCAGCTAGAGAAAGTATTTCCTTCTGAAGTTCATCACGAACCTCTTGTATCTGTTTGGCCAGTTTTTCCCCATAGTCTATAACCAAATAAGCAGGATTTTCTGCTCTATCCAACACACCGGTATCAGTAAATGCATCCATATTTTCAGAATCTTTGCAATTAAGATGATTATACATGTTCGTCATTTCCATATGCAACCTTCCTGTTCTTTCCTTACCAAAGTCTCATTGATTATGTACCGAGAGGTTACGTCACTGTCTGACGTCACAATGACGTCATTAGAAATACACCGGAAAGCAAACCGCTAAATAACGCGTGACATTTTAAACAGCTACTATATTAGTAATCTTATTGTGGGTATGGAAAAAAATATTAATTTCCGTTAGACGGGAATTACAATGGTGTATATCATAAAACAGACATTTCATTCATTTAGTAATTGCAACTGCATTGACTTACTGGAGCATTATATACCCAATGACACGTGCATTCTTTGACATACATGACATTACGAAGGAAAGTTAACATGTTTTGGAATAAGAAATGCTAGTTATGTAAGTTAATATTCTACCCCAAGACACTTAAAAACACAATTCTCTTCAGACCACTTAACTATTAGTAAAATCAAAATATTCAGTTTTAAGATGTTTGTTTCTCTCGTCTCAGTGATGTGCAATATTTTGGCTTGATTTTGTTTATTGTATTCACCTCTTTTTCCTTTTTATTTTTGTAGATTTTGTTCTTTCCTTTTATTTGAGTTGTTTTATGTTGTGTCGTCCTTTATTCTAATATTCTCATATCTTTAATTTTGTTGTTTTGTTTTATGTTGCCATGCACTTTATTTGAATGTTTTAGTTTATTTTCTGTTTTGTTTTATTCTTGTGTATTTTTGTGGGAATGTTATGTGCTGTTTGTTTTGCTTTTTCTTTTCTTTCTTTTTTGTCTTGGCAGTTGTTTTCAATAACTCTCCGTCATTTTCTTTGGTGTTTCTGTGTTGTTTCTTTTTCCAATGGTGTTTATCTGCGTGTTTTTAAAATGTGTGCTTTGTAAGGTGTGTTTTCTATTATATATTTTTAGGCTGTTTTTCTGCATTATTTTTCAATGACTATTTTGCAAAAATGTGTTTTATAAAGCATAGTTTACAATGTATCATTTTCGTCACCTGTTGTCATTGTGTTTCATTGTATATTTTCTTCAGTGTGTCTTTATTGTGTTTTTACGGTATATTGTATTAGATTTTTAAAACAGCGTTTTAAACAAAGTTCGTTTTTAAGAAAGGGTTTCTTTGTCACGTATTTAGCGGGTATATAGTATTTTCTGATGTGCTATTTTTAATTTTTTTATCTGTGCTTTTCGTTAAGATGTTGGGGGGGGGGAAGAGGTATTGTCTTAATATGCGTTGTTTGTTTCTTTATGGAATAAAGCGTAGTACGCATTAAAATGCATCTCCTCACCAGGTTTCACGACTGAAGGTTGGATTGGACACTGTATATAGCATGCATATAGTGTATGTGTGTGTCGATATATATATATATATATATATATATATATATATATATATATATATATATATATATATATATATATATATATATATATATATATATATGGGGTAATTAGGGGACAAAGATAATTAAATAATTAAATAGGCACCGGTAGGTTAGGGGGACTATCAGGTTTGAGCATGCACAGGCCTCTCTGGGGACGGTAGGAAATTAATATAAGATCTATTTTGTCCCCTGACTGCTCTATAAATTTAGTGACAGATGGGTCTGTTTGTGGACAAGGGAAAATGTAATGCAACATTTCTTTATAACGTTCATTCAAAATATAATGTATATGTTTGCAAACAACTGGTTATAATAGGCGATGATGCAAGTGATGCCTATTGGCGAGTTTATGTGGGTGGAACCCGCGGATGTAAACATGCAGAAACACATACGCGAGTACAACAGAAAGTAATCTTGGATACTTCTTTGTACGCTACGACGAATAGCGCGACAACCAGAGGTCCCTGTTTCACTCCCGTCCACGTGACAATGCCTTGCTGGTTGGTAAATCATCATTGAAGCTGCTCAACAAAATCTCGAAGACTTAAGAATTAGAAAACGGTTTACGGTTGTGATTGGGACGTAAAAATGTATTAAACGAAACGTATAATATATAAAGTTTCACTATGTCCTGATTCAAAGATTTATCTGACACCATATTGGACAACGTCGCGCCTGTGTTACGTGATTGAATAAGAATTATTTATAACGAGGGTCCCCAATGAACGTGGGAGAGTATACTGTAATTATATATGCTGGACACGTTTTCCGTGTGATGCCTTCTTACAAAATCGATGGAAAACTAGTACAGGTCGACGATACCAATTGAGCCGACAATATTCCGTTGTATTTGCCAATAAATGCATCATGGCGCTGTTTAACAGCGTATGATATTTTATCGATGGAAAGGAAATCGAAGCATTTCTGAAGAACGACAATTACTTGACTATTCGTCAGTTTCAGCGACTTTTATGCAAGGTCCGCTGGCCCATTTATGAGGTTCATCAATGACTCAAAGGAGCATGCAAATCATTTCCCGCATAGCGTACGTAAATTTGACTAGATTGCTTTTCTTGATCCACAACCAGCATCTATGTCAATCAGATGATACACTGGTGGCGCCCCTATACTATACCCAAAGACTTCACTATATTATACCCGATTTATTACTTTTGGTTGAAATACCTGTAGCTGTTTAGGCAGTCCGTGATTTACAAGCACTTTAATGTACGTGGAACTCAGCACAAATCTATACACTACAGACGCATTACTGTTATTCTTTACCATAAGCCTTTGCAGGGTTAGGGGCACAGATGGCCGAATCAAAGTCTTTGACGCACCTATGGAAAACCTGTAGTTGTTTTTATCAAACCCGTAATTGAACATGTAACATTTGAAGTAAAATCCTCCCATTTGCGTAAACTTGCTCAGGTGAACTCAAAAAGATCTCACCTGTGATGAGTAAAGAAATGGAGTTCGTTTGAAATTTTCCCCAAACATGTCATCTGGTAACACCCTTCTTATGGTGACACCAACACAGGTGTAACCGTACTGCCAAGTACTGCAGTAGCATTAAGTACACAATTTGCTTTTACTGTTTTTAAAACACATGTCAAATTTTGACAGTGTATCCACAAAACGTGTACTTGTGAAATTTTAAGATGCAAAAACACCAGAAAAAAAAAAACAAGCAAAAAAAGCAAGTTATCGGGTTCTTTTTATGTTTACTTGTCACAGAGCATAAGAGTTCATGGGATGACCTGTTGGTTGTCACCATACAGTCCATTAGCACAAGATAATTGTCATCATACAGTCCATTAGCACAAGATAGTTGTCATCATACAGTCCATTAGCACAAGATAGTTGTCATCATACAGTCCATTAGCACAAGATAGTTGTCATCGTACAGTCCATTAGCACAAGGTTGCTATTGCTACTCATAAAGTGCTTGTTGGTGCATTGCCATGAAACTGCACACAATGTACATCACAAAAATCAATCAATTAATCCTTATTGAGAATAAATTGAACCATTGTATGCAGTATCACCATTGGAATGAAAAACAAATATATGCATATATCCTACTTGTGGATGAAACAGTATTTCATGTTTAAACCATAAGTGTGTATTATATTGATTTAAAAATGCGGAGAAAAAAAGAAACCAAGAAAAGAAACCAGTCAACTTATCAATATGCAGAGGTGGTTGTAAATTGCCACACTCGGAGATATGAGGAGTAATTTCACTAGGCCAATATACGACTGTCTTCAGTAAATCTCATCTCCGTTTAAAGGTCAAATATATGTATTTGTATGTGATCTAAATGAAATATATATGCGCAGTATGTACGCTCTATCAATGATATACCACTTGTATAAATTTTTCAGCAAGATTCGGTTCATTGTAATGAAAAATTTATGCAGCTCGGGGTATATCATTGATACAGCGTACTATATATATATATATATATATATATATATATATATATATATATATATATATATATATATATATATATATATATATATATATATATATATATATATATATATATATATATATATATGTATGTATGTATGTATGTATGTATGTATGTATGTATGTATGTATGTATGTATGTATGTATGTATGTATGTATGTGTGTGTGTGTGTGTGTGTCTTTAAGGTAGGCTTTTCAATGATAAAGATGACAATGTAATATGCATTGCAAGTAACGGCTTCATCATAGTGGATTATGTTATAACTGCTACGGATCCGCTCCGGTGGCCTAAGTGATTAGAGCGTCCGCGGCGGATGCGTAAGGTCGCGGGTTCGATCCCCGGCCGAGTCATAAAAAAGGCTTATGAAAATGGTACTTGCAGCTTCCTCGCCTGACCCTCCGCATTAAGAGGTTAGTAATAGGACTTGTTGACCTGGTATCAGAACTTTGTAACTGAGTGGAACATCATGCTATTTATCTGCGCATAATTACCTAGATCTAGGCATCAATATAAACCGCCACACTGCAGAAATAGTAGCGACAAGACTAAAATTGTTAAAGCTATGTTAAAAATCTTAATAAAACACACACACACACAAAACGGTCGCTTCAGATTTGTTCCTCTTTATATCTAACTGTTGTTTTGATAACTGAACCGAATTCTCTCATTTTCGATCTGTTGTAGATTCGAAATTGCTGATAAATTAAAAATTGGTAGTAAAATTGAACAGATTACAAAAGACTATGCAGGTAATGAATACGCACATGAAGGAGGCGTGAGCGATGGCTTTGAGGACATTAAAGACACTGATGATGTGCAACCTTTCCAGTTGAAAGGCAAAAACGGGAATTTTCTCCAGCATTTTGAACATAAATTTATTGATCATGTCCAAGATATAACTGCTTTGTATCATTTAAATATCAACGATTGTGCAAAACAAAGTTTGAGTCTTTATATAAAGAAATTTGTGTTCAAATGCGGCCACATAAGTTCTCAGTTTTACCAAAAGGTTACAACCTCCATGGTGGGATCAAGATTGCTACAAGGCTAAGGAGGAATGATTTGAACTTTTCAAGAATATATAGTTACAAAACCAAAACATTCATGTACATGAATACGTTCGCAGAGATTTAAGCTTGTAAAATCAAGAAATGACCCTAAAACATTTTGGTAAGTGTTAAAGGGAAGATACTAAACCGGCAATGCAAGTGAATCTAAATAACAAAGAATGACTGGTTTGATTATTCTCTTTCATATTATTGTGTAACAGAGATGAAAATATTGATGACGATGATGGTACTGCAAAAAAGAATATGTCCATTTCCAATTGCATAAACCAATTACATATCAATAAATAATCGGTAGCGTTAGCTTTTTGAAAAATAAAAAAATCCTTGTTCCGACAAAATTTTGTTACCAGCCGACTTTACCATGCACTGTTTCGTTTCCTAATATGCTCTTTAATAGACTATTTGAAACGGGAACATTCTTTAAAGAGTGGTTAAAAAGTATAATGTGTTCGATATTTTAAGAATGGGAACATGAACAACTCTAAGAATTATAGGGGAAATTCTAATAAATGTACTCTGCAAAGTATTGACATCTATTTTGAGCAACGGTTGTATAGATGGGCAGAAAGGAAGAATCTAACAGATGAATCTCAGGCTGACTTAGAAAACACGACAGTATTTATGATAATATATTCAGTTTGCATGCAATTGTTCAGAAGTACATATGTAAATCTCGTGGTAGGTTTCAATGTTTATTTATTGATTTTTTAAAAGCTTTTCAGCATGTATAACATAATAACAATTGTTTTCTCTCGTACAGATAGGTATTGGTGGAAATATTTTACAGGTTTAAAAATTATGAATTTTTGTTTGAAAATGTGTGTACCAACACCAAATTGACTAACCATATATTTCAATTGCAATTGTAGGAGCAAGACAATGATGTATTCTAAGCCCTGTTCTTTTTTTTTTGTCTTTTTATTGATGATTTAGTTCAAAAGTTACGAACTAAGTGTGATAGTGGTATTTACATCACTGAGAATATTCTAGAGATCTTTGCCTCGTTGAATGCAGAAGATGTAGCTAATTGTGCTGAAACTGTACGGTTTTTACAAGAACAACTTAACGCCACAGATTATTTTTGTAATTGAAACTGGAATGGAAACTAATCTAGCAAAAACAAAAATAACTGCTTTCGAAATAATTGCTTTCTGATAGATTACGAGCGTTGGTATTAGAGGAGCAAATGTATTGACACGGTGTCATTTGACACACACACACGTATGTATGTATGTATGTATGTATGTATATATATATATATATATATATATATATATATATATATATATATATATATATATATATATATATATATGTATGTATGTATGTATGTATGTATGTATGTATGTATGTATGTATGTATGTATGTATGTATGTATGTATGTGTGTGTGTGTGTGTGTGTGTGTGTGTGTGTGTGTGTGTGTGTGTGTGTGTGTGTGTGCATTTCTCCCAGCTGAATTCAGATTCCAAAGACACAATGATTAGTAGCGATGACAGTGCCAATATAGTACATTAACACACACTAAAACTGTCACCTCACATTTCTTTTTATCATGATAGTTGATCAAAGTCTACTGGGGTCATGATTTCATTCCTTTGTCAATGAAAACATAATTGTTGATCATATCCTGTGAGCTTCTGGCACAATGCCTTCAAATCCACAACATAAGGTATTTCAAAAATAAAGTATGAATCCTTCCCCCATCATTCCATGGTAAGAATTAGTCCCTGTTATGTATATTTAACAGTGGAAGACACAGACAAACAATACCTCGAAATTCAAATGGAAGTGTCACGATGTATTTTTTTCTGAGTAAAAATTTCAAAATTGTGGAATTGTAATTTAAATTTGTATAATTTTTTAAAAAGATGATAGTTGTAAGAATTTGTTTTGTGTGATTCCAAATTGGATTCCTTTAATGATGTGTATCATTGTTAAAGTTGTATTAGTGTAAAACAAATACCCAGTTGATATTACGATTGTTCTTCTTATGCAATACAGCATTATTATATTTTCCAATAAAAAGGTAGCCTATACACTACACACACAAGTCATTAATTTGCACCAATATTCTCAACCACTGACGTAAGAAGGCATAATGACTAAAATGACTTCAGTCAGAATCTTAAGTGGTGCACTGTTGACAGTTTTGACGAGGCAAGTTATTCTTTTATTCTTTGGACGTCTGTCAGTATAGGAACCATACACTCTGCTCTCCATGGCATAGCCAGAATTGCTGTCTTCCTTTTTCCAGGTAAGAAAAATGTAATTAATTTTAGTTTAGAGATTTCTCTTATGTGTCTGAAAACAAGAAACACATTTAAACATTATTTTAATTACCTTTAAAGAGCCTGTAATATGTTTTTATTATGCTATATGAATTTTTAAATATAGCATATTGTGGATACTTTAAATTTATTTAGAATATGTGTCACTTATAATATATAGATTTGTTGTTTTTTTTGTTTTAAAAATTGTTTGTTACCAAATTCGTGGGGGAAAAAACTAACTTAGAAACATAATACCTTCTAAATTACAGAAAATAATATTTTACTTTGTAGAACAAACATTCAAAAAAATGCTTTGATTGAAGATAAATGTGGTATTAGTTTGTACCATTTAACACCTACACATATTTACATTACTGGTAATTTGTTCGGCATTTAATTCCAAAATAAAGAATTTCTATATTATTGACGGTGTAAAGTTGGTTAGTTTTAATATATTATTATTATTATTATTATTATTATTATTATTATTATTATTATTATTATTATTATTATTATTATTATTATTATTATTATTATATATATATATATATATATATATATATATATATATATATATATATATATATATATTAAATGTATAAGTTGATTTGGGTTTAATTTTTTATATCGAGTGATGTGTCGAATTTTAATAAAGAGCTGTTGCGTTGCAGACTTCAGATTCTGAGTTCCTTTTTCCAGTTCGAACCACTCTTTGCTAATACTAGCGATGTAACAGCTACATCGCAAGAGTGACACCTCCCACAAAAAGGAGTCCAGCATGATGCATTTATCTCTTTCTTTCTGACAAGTGTACCAATCAATAAACTGGGCATGATGTAAAGAATTTTTTTCAGCAAACTGACCATAAATAAATGGTCAAAAGAACGATTAATATTCCTGTTTATAAAAGAAGTTCTTAGATCCACTTCCAACAGGAACCTTTTTTTATGGTAAGATTGGTAATTCTACAAATACAAGAAGTTATTGGAAACTGAGAAATATTTGACATTAGATTTACATTTCCTTTTTATAAAAAAAATCATTAGCATATTTTTGATGCTCTAAACGTTAATGATCAAAACGAAGAAAGGACACTAAAATTTAAAGAGATCAAAGAGTTTATTACAAAACATGTATCAAAGAAAATATTAAGTGTAACGAATATGAATATATTTTTGTATGTATGTATCCTTCTTATACAAATTTAAAACGGAATTATCTTGACAAGATGTATTATATAAACCCTTCACTGGATAAATTTGCATATTTAATGCCAATGCATAAAACAGACTTTATTATAAATGTTTAAAAGATTTTGTATTTTGCTTTTAAACTAAGAGATCAGCTGTTAAACAGTATCAATATTAACACCTAAACAAGTGTATTTTACTATACTGCTTATGGCGCATTGTGTATTATGCTCTGTTTTAAGGTACTGAATAACCTTAATGTTAGGTTTTGTTCTATTAAATATCATTTTGTTAAATAACAATTAGCAAACATTTTATCTTTAGACCTTTGACTTATGTGAACCTAATTTGTTCCATCTCTGTTCAAAGTATAACATCTACGAGTGACATCTCAAAGATAATTGTGGTAAGTTTCGTATTCATGTCTTTTAGCACAATGATGGTTTTCAGATTGAAAACTTGCAACTTGGTGCATGTTTTAAATGCCTCGCTTTCACCAGTGTGTGGCATGGGGCTGCTTGTGTGAGGCGTAAAGTACTGTGGAAAAAATGCATAATATATATATATATATATATATATATATATATATATATATATATATATATATATATATATATATATATATATATATATATATATATATTCAGAAGAACTCTTAATAAAAAGTATATCACACAATAAAAATACCTATTTAATCCTTTTTGGTTCCTCTAAACAGTTAGGATGTATTTCTGAAGAAGGAAGAACTATTAAATGAATTTGAAGCATGCAACGTAGAGACATTCTTGGTTTACACCATGCTACAATACTTCATGTAA